ACTGCTGTCCCTCTCCTCTCACACTCCCCCTGAATTCACCAGCACACACTTGCACTCTCACCATTTCAGTAGTAAAGTTGCATGAGCCCATCTCTGTTTTCCAGCAGACCCAGACCTGGCCCAGTACGCCCCTCTCGAACCCAGTGTCCAGGACATGCTGGAGAAGTCCCACAGTCTGACAGTGCTGCTGCTGACCCACTGTAGGGATCTTCTGCTGGAATATGTGAGCGCTCACTCTGTACCTGCGGCTACGGGTTCGAATCAGTGACCCAGAGTGTGGAAAGGGCAAGGGTGGAGTGGGAGAAGTGAATAACAAGTAATTCCTTTCTTTTATATAGTGCCTTTCATCCAGGTGGATAATATATCCCTCTACCCATTTTCCCACCTCTTTATCCAGCACAGGGTCACGGGGAGCTGGAGTCTATCCCAGGAAGCAACGGGAACAAGGCAGAGTACACCCTGGACACCAGTCCATACACAGACACACACTGTCACACACCCTGGACTGGACACCAGTCCATCACAGGACACACACAGACTCACACACCCTGGACTGGACACCAGTCCATCACAGGACACACACAGACACACACACCCTGGACAGGACACTAGTCTATCACAGGACACACACAGACACACACTGTCACACACCCTGGACAGGACACCAGTCCATCACAGGACACACACAGACACACACACCCTGGACAGGACACTAGTCCATCACAGGACTCACACAGACTCACACACCCTGGACAGGACACCAGTCCATCACAGGACACACACAGACACACACACCCTGGACAGGACACTAGTCCATCACAGGACACACACAGACACACACTGTCACACACCCTGGACAGGACACCAGTCCATCACAGGACATACACAGACACACACACCCTGGACAGGACACTAGTCCATCACAGGACACACACAGACACACACTCTCACACACCCTAGACACCAGTCCATACAGAGACACACACACCAGTTCTCCCAGAAGCCTCTTACCCTTCCAGTCTCTGGACTGTGGGAGGAATCCCTCATGAACACAGGAAGAACATGCAGACTCCACACAGATGGAACGCCAGCACTGTGAGGCAGAAGTGCTCACCATGCTGTCCATGATAATATATAAATATGAATTCC